GGGACACACAGCTTAAAGTCCCTCCCGGAGGACTTGTTCCCTGAATTCCGCCGGGTATTTGAACCCGCGTACCACGAGTCATGAGGTGGGAACGTTACCTTAGTCCCTTGCCATTTTGCCTTAGTTAGACGCGTAACTTGATAAGCTTCGTTTCCGTTATGCCACGACCTTCCAATTAATTCTCTCAGCCTGGAACTGGCCACAACCTTCAAATTAATACGTCCAAAAAAAGTATATGAACGTCCAGTAGCAATGAGGAAGCGTTCGATAGGTCGCCATTAGACAAGGAAAAATAGCACAGTGTTCTGCAATGATGATGTGGGTCCTCTATCTTAAGACGCCCACGCCATAAGCGGGAAAAATGAATGTGACACAACAGGCGAGGAGATATTTTATGTCGATGAAAGGACAAAGACGGTCGCATCTTTCAAATAAATCACACCGGAACTGGATAGAACGAATGTACCTAATGTCTTATCGTCGTGGAGAAATTGTGTCAAATATTAAGTTGTAAAAGACAACAGTTACAATTTGACCATTTCAAGTACAGTGGTTACTATATGTACCACAAGATTTAGTACGTAGCATTCAGAGCGTATTTATGCGTTCCGTATTATTACCAAAATTGTCCCCCATTTCCAGACAGGTCTGGAGATAGGAATTAGATCTAGCGTTTAACTTGAGGACTGGTGCAGAGTCAAGTTTACGAAACTTTGTATTAAATCAAAACAGGACCATGTATAACGCCCAGACAGTGAACAATTGTGTATTTATATTTACATGAATTACAATCTTAAGCACTGCAATACAAAAATTTGCTTCACTTTACCGGCAGTGACCTGCATCTGTTCCCTCTTCTTCCCCACTTTTTTTTTTTTAGAATTCTGAAATAATTCACTATTTTTAAGCGTGTCTACTAACATTAATCTAAACAAGAAAATGTCTGGTCTCATCGTACTGTTGAAATAATTTACAGACAAGGATAATGTGCCTATGGTCATGACAATGCTTAATGAGACTTTTTATATTCAGGGTTTAATTAAACCTAAAAATAACTTCCTACGAAATGTTTCCGCGGGCTCTAATTTATATTACTACCAGCATAAGAATGGGTAAGTTGTTGGGACTTTTTTAAATATCGAATTACGGGCCATAAATTATCAGACAGTTCTCCTGCAACAGGATACACGGACTCAGCTGAATAATTTATATCCTAAATATTTTAAAATATCTTACAGGAAACAATTCGTATGTCTTCTTCCATTATTGATAACTAAATAACTAACCTTATATGAGAGAGTCTTTCTCGATAGCTGACAGTTATTCAACTATTTTCCGTCTTTGCTGGAACCGGAAAATTCTTTGCCATGCAATCCATAATTCCACATGAACTTGACTTGGCTGATCCTGGTCCGTCACACTAGCAATAGTACAAAATGATTCGCAACGCCGTCCAGTGTGATTGAAGAATAGAATAAATGTTGATTGCGTCCTTCTGAAGATGGTCAATTCGACCGAAACATGTTAAGGAAAATAAAATTTTAAATATAACTTTTATTGATCAATCACACTGGACGGTGTTGTGAATCATTTTATACATAATTTCACACTTCATTTCTTCAAGATCTCTTTTAATATCATCCTCCCTTCCACGTATGAGTCTTCCATGTGGTCTGTTTCTTTCAGAATTTTCGACAAAAAATTTAGTTGTCACGCCTTTTCATTTCTCCCAAACACTATATGTCATAACCATCAAACCCTCTTTATTTAACTTCGTCATCCTAATTTTTGTTGAAGATCATAAATTATGAAGATCCTTAGTCTGTAAAATTCTCCGCCCTCTTTTATTTCCTCCCCCTTAAATCCAAATAGTTCCTTAGATCCCCAACACCCTGTTCACATACCATCAGCTTAATGTCTTATTTTTTATGCGAGAGATCAAATTTCACACTCATGAAAGAAAAAAACTAAGATTATAGTTTTGTGAATACACTTTTACACTTTAGATAAGATATTGGATGTCAACAGATTCCGTTCGGAACGGTACAAGCATTTCCTGACTTTAAAATATTTCATAAAATACGCCAAAACAATTTTAACACCTGAGCCCCGGATACGGAAGCGGTGCCCCTACGTTGTCGTGAAGGGCGAGAAGCCTACTGCTCTTCCTGAAGTTCTTATTGGTCCATCGAGAAAAATGCGGGGATGTACCTGATGTCCGACCAGAACCACTGCCTTTTAAATCCTTTCCAGTTTATTTTTCACTGACCTTCCTGTCATTCGAAACAACGCTGAGCTATGTACGTCGATATTAAGTAAATCATAGGGCCGCTCTACAGCTCAAGCGGTTAGTCGCTGGTTTCCCACCGCGGAGGCCCGGGTTCGATCCCGGGTCTCGTGGAGGCGGGCTCGAATACCTCCACCGTGACCCTGCGAGTCGTAGGCGACGAAAAGGGAAGTCTCAAATCTGAGACAGTAAAATATGGTAGCAAGTACCAAGGGACTCGGACCCCAGAAAGACTGCGCTGGCGAGTGCCAGCAGCATGTACAGATGACAGACCCGTCCTCTCGTCAGAGAGGGCGCCCCCCAAATAATACCATAACCGTCAAACGATAATAATTAATATCTGATCATGAAAGACTTACTGACTGACTGGCCGTCAGTCGCAATGTGACTTTTACTTTGACTTTACCGAGTTGTTACCAAGCAGCGATAGGGGGATACACAGACAGACCCAAGGACTCTCTCCGACGATAAGTCAAGGACTGCAAAGAATATGACACGGCCAACAATTCGTCTATTGTTGCGTATATTCGTTGCCGCGGGAACATGTTTACCTAGCTGTAGCCTAAGGGATACACTTTACCGAACCTTTGCCTAGCAATGAGCCTATAGACACAGACTGACGGAGGAGGGATTTGTAAAGTACGCCGTTCAGATAAGCTGGAGTGCCATGATTCGCATACCTAGTATCATAAAGATTGGTCCAGGTATTCAAAAGTTAACACGTGGGGAGAATTCACAGACAGCGTGGAGATCTCATTAGCCTATCTTTATTTTTTTTTCAAAATAAGGAAAGTAGGCTAATAAAGACATTTAATGTAATACTGCATCGAACTGTGGCAAAGAGCATGTTAAGGCGTAGATACAAAAGGAAGGCAAACAGGCGAACAGACGCAGTGGGAGGGGCAGAGCTACACGTATTTGCGTGCACTGAGTTGCGTGAAGAAAATCCATCCGTAAAATACTGAACGAGTAAGAAACGTGTCACAGAATTCTAGTCTGCCGAAAGTGGGCGGACGTGTCACTTGCGGGAAGGGGTCAACACTTGCATGGGCTGGAAGCCGGTGACCATTGTTACGCGATACCACGCGTAGACGCCTGTTTCCTCATTGAACCCCCTGCATTCCTTCACGGCTGAGTGCTGACGCCCACACGTGGCGAAGGTCGTGGGTTGCACGTTTGCCGTATCTCTTTAAATGGGAGAATGGCCAATATGTGCAGAGTCAGGCCCTGACTTATCGCAGTTGACTTCTACTCTAGCGTTAATGTCTGTAAAATACTTTAATTCAGTTTTAACAAAACACTTCTACGCTTTTCATAGAAAATCAATAAAATTTCTTATAGGCTAATTTATGGTTAATTTTCGAAAAGATAAGGGGCACGCGGTAGCGTACTTGGTTGAGGCACTATGCTACAAGCCGGAAACTCGCGGGTTCGATTCCCGATTAGGTCATTGGATTTCTTTCAATTGACCTAATTCTTCCAGCCACATTATGGCCCTGGGGTCGACTCAGCCTCTAATAGAAATGAGTGCCAGGAATCTTCCTGAGGGCTAAAGGGCGGCCGGCGCGTAAGGCCAACAACCATACCGCCATCTGTGAGCCGACTCTCTAGAAATTGTTGGAGCTTTAACGTCTCACAAACCTGTGGACCTTCACGGCCTGTTACAGGGATAGATTTACCCTTCTTTCGAAAATATAAGGTAAGAAGGGTATGAATGCTTTGCTCGGAGAACAATGTCAACGGAATAAAATAGTTTGGACAAAATTAAGTCGAGGGTTCATTGAAAGAAAAGCAAACAGGTAAAAGTAAAGTTGTTCCTACGCTTAATTAGGTACCACGCCATGAAGACATACCGGGGAGTGAATCCCCACACATTCTAAATTTCGACACTACAGTGGTTGCAAATAAGTGGTCAGCTTTATTCCTGAGGAAAGAAACTCCGGCATTCAGTGGATACGATGTGTAGGGCCGGTCTGGTTGCTGTGGACAAGAGGAAAATACATTTCACCTACCAGGAATCGAACCACGATTCCTCAGTCGGCAAGCAGGTAGTCTAATTAGGTATACAATAATCCGGACTCAAACTATAAACTGGATAAAATTTGCCTAAATAGCATTTTCTGGCATAAAACAAAATTTCATTACTTTAATGGCATGGTGTCTGTCGTGATTCAGAACTGATATAATTGATGCATCATTCATCGGTATCACCTCGAGATCCCAAACAATGGCTGGAATAATATTACAGCTTACGATGATTTGCGTCAAATATTGCTTAACACATAATGATTAAATTTAATTTAGGACGAATCAGACGGATTTCATTCAGGCCCAAGTTAACCTTACCTTTTTAAGAAGTTAAGACTGAATTTTATCCAGCAGTTTCTTTCGAAACGTTGGGACATATCTACCAGACTACACAGCGTCACATTCCAGATGACATCGGTAATAATAATAACATAATACCGACGGTATAATGATTGATTAAAGCAAGAAAGCATTCCAATTATACCAATAGATTCCTAGCAAGTATAATCATGCCTAAAACAACAAACATCGATACTGCCTAGATCCGCGAGGCGTGGACTGCAGTACCGCGCATTCTGGTAGTAGAAACTGGAAACAGCACGCGTCGGTGCCTTTCACCGTCATCAAGACATCAAGACCGTTCATTATTGTTCTCGATAGATGGTGCTGAATTGACGGTAATGAAATGACCATAATGACTATGAAACAGAATGGTGGAGTATTGTATCAGAGAGTTTTGTTTAATTGTATGAACGTTTTATATTTAGGCTTGTAAAATAAATTATTTGTCCAGTTGTATACGAATTTAACCAGCATAATTTGTGGACATATGTCACAGTAAAAGTAGCCGCTCTAATATACCTTCAAACCCTCCATGCCATATATAGGTTAGGACAATGGAGAATGGAGATGAATGTAACGTTCATAATTTTGACAGACAGTTAGTTCTTGTGGAGTACCCAGGAGTTGTTGAAAATGAGGACAGAGCCATTAGAACCTTGGGAGGATTGCAAAACATTTCAACGGTGAGTGATTGTAAGTCATGAAGCAGTACTGTTGCTGTGTATATGAAATATTGTAAGACCACTGCGAAAGTACGATGTATATTTCATAATTTTATGAGGTTCATGTTTAACATCCTTATTAAGGCACAATAGATCACTGTGGTCGCGGTGCAAGGGCCAAGGAGGCCCACCCCTTATACATTAACATCCTTATTATCCGCCATTAGTGCCTGTTTCATGCAAATTTTATATAACAACTTCGTTCTCTGTTTCCAGAACTAAATTTGTTGTGATTGTGTGTTCAGGTGAAATAAAAAATATAGTGATGGACGGTCAGGGTTCGATTCCCGACAGGGGCAAGATTTTTCTTTTCTTCACATTGTCGAGACCAGCTCTGGGGTCCACTCAGCTTCTTATACAATGGATACTAGGGGCTTTTCCCCCAGGTTCTTTTTATTGAGTAAAACTTCTGGAACTAAAACTTTAGTCTATGTTCACAGAGTTTGTCACAAGAGGTCTGGTGGAAGGAATACAATTTTTAAGCAGGATTACATTTTGGTTCACATTGGTTCACAGTATGTTTTACAAATGAAGTATGTTTTCATCCTAGTGGTTACATTAATACCTAGGCCTGAGGGTTCATGGGAGGTATTTTCAGCATGACCTCTACCAATCAGAATCACACTCATAAATTTTAGAGTCATATTTGTGTTAATTGGCTAATATTCGTTTGCCTATGCTAGTACATTAAACATGTTCAAAAGTGAAAATTTCTGTAATGTTATAACTACTTCTGCAGCTTCACCCTTTCTTTTTCCCAGATATTGTTACTGTCGGAGTATTACATTTGAGTAGAAGACAGCAGGAACTCAGCATACATGTGTTACTTTATACATATACATGATTATAATTCTTTTGCTACTTGTTTCTTATTGCTGACCTAACAGAGAATACCCAAAGATATTATGAAATGTATTCTATGCTCTTCACACTGTTTATGGTAGCCATGACTGTTAAAGCAGTGTGCAAGTATTGCAGGAGAGTTTTTGTATGCAATTTGAATCCTCATTTTGAATCATCTTTTATTAATTACATGAGTAAATTTGAGGGTTAGTCCTTCTTTAGACTTTTGGCTACTATATATTGAGATATTGACAAGGAAAATAACTACATCATGTGCAAAGAATGGCTACTTCTGCTTGTGTTAGTTATGAAGTTAACACAAACTTGGTAACTTTACAATGTGGATTCTAATGATAATTATTCTTTCAGACTTACTCTTTAAAAAATAGAAGGTTAGAGCTCCGTTTTCGACCTGATGATGCGTTTAGTAAGCCTGCTTGTGGTGATCGACATAAGACATTGTCATTACTCTTAAAAGTGAAAGTACGTCGTCAGAAAAAGAAAAATGGCCAGCTTTTGGGTGAATCTTCAGCAGAAGACTCAGACAGCTCTTCTAGCACATTTTCTGCAGGGAGTTCTTTAAGAACGACTTGCAGTATAGCTGTTGTGGGCAGAATAGAAACAGCCTATCGCTTTAGAAGTAAGTTAACATTATCCTATTGACATTACAAGAAAACAGTAACCTACTATTAGAAACTGCAGTATTCATAGTAATTTAGATGGCTCCTTATAAGTGGGGTGTTCCAGATAGTAATGGGGAAATTGCAAAAGTAAGTTTTGAGAAGAACCCTCTAGAGTTTATGTGAATATAAGCAAGTGTGCAGTCAAAACCACAGCACAAAAGGAAGGGTAAAGAAGGGCATATGACAGTTGGCCACACTGGATAGCATTGTCACCATTCTGCACATTCAGTAAGCTGTCACATTTGCTCAGCTTTCAGAGGTCATGTTATTTCTATCCAATTTTAATCTTCAGGAATTTCAAGAATATTACAGGTGAACTTGACCCTTGGGACTATATCTGTCTTCTTCCACACACTTCAGAGAATATGCTGAGCAAATGAAAAAGGGAACACACATCATGAGACATGATATACATGGAGTATAAGAGGAACGACTCCCATAGTGGAGGAACCATGCGCGGGTTTGAATTGGGACATATAAGATGAATATCTTAACAAGATTTTAGTGTATAAAAATTTATTATAATTGACGAATATTTTAAAATATTTTTTAAATAATTTTACAATAACATAATGGCAAGCAATGCAATAGATTAACGTAAATGGAGCACCTGATGATGGCACTATGTTGCCGAAACATGTTGTGAAATAACAGGTAAAATTGAGTTCACTACAAGACGGACATGGCATACATATCATGGACGAAAATCAGTGCAACAGGACGATAAATACAACATTATGAAAAAGGAAAACATTTGACAGTTTTTCTGAATTCCCTGTTATCATTTGGAACACCTCGTGTGGGATAGGAAATTATGGGCAGCATGATAATTAGAAATTATTTTGTAGCTGATGCCTTCAGTTGCGGTGTTATCAATCTTCCTGGCTTGTGCCTACCTTAGCAGCAAGGAAGACCATTTCTGAAGTGTTTGGCAGAGTTCTTGTGGTCTCTCTCCCTCCAGGAGAATGCAGTAATAGACCATAAATGATTTCTTACACACCTACAAACAGAAACAACAAACTCTGTGGTTCTAGTCCGCAAGCGAACTATACTGACCGAGCGAATGCTGCTTGTCGGCGAAGTTAGTGCCAACTTTAGCGGATCTTGCACACCTACACTTGTATTAATTTCATTCAGTGCTGTATAGAATCTACAGTTTAAATAAAACAAGTAAATAGCCAAAGAATCAAATAAACCACAATTCTGAGATGTGAACCACTATTAGGTGGACTCGTGACATTCTAATCTTGTCATTTGAAATATAGTTAGCATCCAGATGTAACAGTTCTTGACTTTTTTGGGGGGTCGGGGTTTCCAGACAGTCATTATATCACCCTCCTAAGTACGATGTTCATCAAATTCAACTGAAGATGTACTGCGTCTCCATTATAAAAATCAGTCAGTTAATGCTGGTTAAGGATATATTCACTGTTAAGTAAAAGTAAAGTAAAAGTAAGTAAAGCTATCCCTGTACCAGGCCGTGAAAGCCCATAGGGTTGTGAGACGTTGAGGGTCCCACATTGTCTAGACAATCGGCTCAAAGATGGCGGTAAGGTTGTCAGCCCTACGTGCCTCTGTTAGAGACTGAGTAAACCCCAGGGCCTAGTGCGGCTGGAAGGATTAGGTCAACTGAAAAAATCCAATGACCTCTATGCTACCACGTGCCCCCTATATTCATTGTTTATTGTGAGACTTGTACAAAGGATATAAATACACCGTTTAGGGAAAGTGGAGAATTTGTGGGTGTTAAAGTATGTGGTACATATAGTTAACTGCTGTACCTTGAACGATTATGCTTTCTCCTGGGTAGAGCTGAAGCTGGCATAGCTCAGTTAGGGTAGCAAAGAGCTAAGGACTGGACAGCCAGGGTTTGATCTCTGACAGGAGAGACTTTTCTCTTCTCCACAGCATCCAGACCAGTTCTCGGGCCCAGCCAGCCTCCTGTCCAATGGGTGCCAGGGCGTGAAGCTGACCACTCACCTCCATCTAGTGCCGAGGCCAAGAATGGTGGAACTATAACTCAGTTCCTCCATATGTCTTCATGGCAGGGACGACTTTATCTTTCGCTTCACTACAGTGAATTCAAACACTAAACTGAGGAAAACATAAGGAGGGAGTTTTACATTACAATTATGGTGTTGCAGCACAGACATGATGGAAAATTTTACCTCATGGAACAGTATGTGGTAATACCATGATAGAAACGAATTTTCTTTGGGTTACTATTCTGTGACCGCCTCTGTGGTCCAGTGGTCAGAGTTCCTAGCTACAGATCCAGAGGTCCCGGGTTCGATTCCCAGCACTACCAGATTTTCTGAGAAGTAGTGGTTCTGGAATGGGGTCCACTGAGCCTCGTGAGGGTAATTGAGGAGCTGTTTCAAGGAAATAGTGGCTCTGGTCCAGAAAACCGAGATTAACAGGTGTGGGGATCTGTTGCGCTGACCACATGACACCCTCTATCCGCAAATGTTGGCACTAACTTCACCAACAGGCAGTGGTCACTTGGTCAGTATAGTTTGATTGCGGACTACAGGCCATGGAGTTTGTTTTTTTACCATTTTGTAATTAGGACACATGGTTATTAAGATTGTTAACAGTGCTCGCATGCCTTTAGATTTGTGTGACTTCCAGTATGTCACCATGAATCCTCAGTTTGGTAGCCATGGGCCAGCTGTGTGCGAATATAGTAACCTTGTTCCAATTGGACTTCCTAAAGCTTCATGGCTGACTGGAGAGGCACCATATTTCCTGCCACCAGCCGCTTTTTCGCGTATGGATACAATGCAGGTACTAATGCCTGATTCTTAAAGTAAGTAGTTCTACAAGTGTGACTCATAACAGTTATATAATCCTTAACTGAAAATATTTTTGTTGTATCTGGTACTTGCCCAAAACAGACATTTCAGTTCATCAGTATCAGAGAATGAAAGTGTAATAAACTGATATACCACTTCCCAGATCTGTACATACATATTCATTTACGGGACTCTCCATGTACCACTGTACAGTCTATTTGATCACAGACTAGTTTAGGAAGCACTTCTAGCACCAGGACCTTATGAAGTTTTAGTGTTTGACTATTCCATGCAAGCCTGTATAGGTTTTTCATGACATAGCACAGAAGCTTTCAGAATACACAAACAGCATTTGTAATTGTAATGATATTTTGTTTTGTGTCACCAGCAATATCTGTACCGCAAGGAACCAGGAGATGATACCACTTCTCCTCCAAACATAATTGGTAGAACAAGACGTCGCAGATCAGGTCATGCAATCTTTGTGACGTTTGACATTGCAGAAATTCCAAAGAAACCTCGGACCATTGCAATGAAACTGTTACGCCTCAAATTTCTTGATGGAATTCATCTTGAAACAGTCAGAAAGGTTATGCATCTGAGATGGATTTTATTTATTTTCTAATTAATTACAAGAATACTATGGTACTAATGTTGCAACATAATGAAAACTATATTGCATAACCGATTTATGATATTTGCAGTTCTTTGAAGAACGCCCTATTTGGTCCAAGAATGCTCTTATGTACCTGACAAAATACACCAGAGGTCAGCTGAAGTATCTATTGCCTGCAGTTGGATATTACTTTGTAACTGGTCCATGGAGAGTCATGTGGATTCGTTTTGGATATGATCCGCGACTGGATGCTGCTGCTCTGAAGTATCAGACACTAGACTTCAGACTTCGAACTGCTGGTATGATTACTGCATAATCCATGTCAGAACAGAAGAGTTTCTAGTCTACTTCCATATTTTGAAAATACAGGGTGTTTCACGACTTTAGGGCATAACTGCAGGAGGTTATTTCCTAGGTCTTTGTGATCAAAAAAGTTCATATAAACATGTGTCTGATTTTGGATGGTTACAGAGTTGTGACCGTTTTTTCATTCCCGTACACGCCCTCGTGTGAACCACGTGTCAGCTGGCAGGTCGCTATTTTTAGCCAGCTACAGACAGAGCATTCTCGTTATCTCGACACCTGAGAGGTACCTAAGGCGGGGTGGGTTGGTATGTCCGGTGCGGTTCACAACCGAGTGGCAGCCTGTGTTGCAGCCGGCGGTGACATTTTCGGAAATCAGCTTTAAGCACCAATAAATTCAAATTAAAGGTAATTTCACGAAGTTAACTTTACATTCATACTTTAAATGTATCTTGTATTATGCTGGTTTATTATTTTGTACCCTTTATTGTCAGTAATTGTTACCTTCTCTTCCGAGTTTAAAACGGTCATAACTTCGTAACCGTCCAAAATGGGACACATGTTTATATGAACATTTTTGATCACAAAGACCTAGGAAATCACCTCCTGCAGTTATGCCCTAAAGTCGTGAAACGCCCTGTATACAAGTAGGCTTATGAGATGACCTTGCTGTCTGTGTAAACCCCCCCCCCCCAATCATTGCTAGGCAGTGGCTTGTTAAACACATTCCCACAGCAAAGAATACACACAACAATAGAAGAATTGTTGGATGCATCATTTTATATGTGGTCCATGTCATATCAAAGGAAACTGGGCAATTAGTTCTTCCCAGAACTTCTTGCGAATGAAATTGTAATCTTTTAGAATAGAAATTGAAAGTGTAATTGTGTAGTTTAGCTGTAGAACATTGCTCCTGAGGGTTCACTGTAAACACATCAAACTGCAAATTTGTGTCTCAAACCTCACTGTACTAAGTTATTTCATATTATTTTATACAAACAACACTCCGTGGCTTGAGTCTGCAAGCGAACTGTACCGACCGAGCGACCGCCGTTTGTTGGTGAAGTTAGTGACGACTTTAGCGGATAGTGTGTGTCGCGTGGTCAGCGCAACGAATCCCCATGGCTGTCACTTTCGGTTTTCTAGACCGGAGCTGCTATTTCCTTGGAATAGCTCCTCCATTATCCTCACGAGGCAGAGTGGACTCCGTTCCAGACCCACTACTTCTCAGAAAATCTGGTAGCGCCGGGAATCGAACCCGGGATCTCTGGATCTGTAGCCAGGAACTCTGACCACTAGACTACAGAGGCGGTTATTATTTTTAGGCAGTATACATAAATGTAAAATTAATGCATTGCTGTTAAAATCTCTCAGCTGCAGCACCCATGATCAGATATTCATGAAACCTTGACCCTGTAACAGGCCATGAAGGCCCTTAGGGTTGTGAGATGTTGAGGGTCTCACATTATCTACAGAATCGGCTCAAAGATGGCGGTAAGGTTGTCAGCCTTACACGCCGGCCGCACTTTACTCACCAGGAAAATTATTTAATTAATTCCTGGTACTCATTTCTGTTAGAGGCTGAGTCAACCACAGGGCCATAGTGTGGCTGGAAGGATTAGGTCAATTGAAAAAAATCCAATGGCCTTATCAGGACTTGAACACACTCATCCCCAGTCTTCATGTTTGGAGCTTCATCTGTGACCAGGCACTTTGCTGCTTACAAAGTATACATATACACTGCATCAAATATGACATCAAGACATAAAGAAACATCAGAGGTAATGGTGTTAATCTCTATCGTCCAAGAATAAGGGCTTTAAATCTCGCACTGTTACATGCTGGCAGCTGGGTTTCAACTTGGGAGTAATGACATTTAGGGCGAGGGCACACGAAGGAAACTGGCAACCACAATTTCTGAGAATTTTATTGTACTGTATTGTATTTATTACACGTTCCAGCACATCCATACAAGGCCGAAGCCATTGGATACAGAACCTGTCACACCACAAGCTTGCTAAATCAGCAAGTAGTCAACAGAACAATGCATATAAATCCACAACAATAAATCAAGCATATGAAACCATACACATCACTGCAACTACTTAACCTACCATGTATGTATAAAATATTGTGACATGTTGCGCAACGGAGGAACCCCCCCCCCACCAGCAGTGACGCGGCGGGTGAGTCAACGCTCCGTCATCCCCCTCTGCACGGTATCGTAACGTGCAACGCGCGGTGACATAAGACGGCGTGAGGTAACAGCGTTGCTACGTAACAGGCCCACACAGCCCCTATATAAGAGAGCTGTGCTGCCTGCGAAGTTAGTTGTAATGTGGCAGTCACCGAGTTAAGTAGTAGTCGAGCGAGTGTGTTATCAACAGTTCTCAAGGCAGCTACGAGTTAGTTCCGAGAGAGTTCCGAGTTAGCCAGCAACAAGTCAGTTGTATTCTGGCATTTGCAGTGTAGTATTTGTGATACTGCCGATGGCAGTAATAGTCAGATTGTTAATTGTGTGATTGTAAGGGCGAATGTGAAATAAAATTCGCTATATCAAATACGGCGTGAAGTTATTTGTTGCGTATACACCCAACGCGTGACAATTTGGTGTCAGAAGTGGGATCAAACTTAAACACGCCACAAACAAATTGTTGTGCATTGAATATTTTACTGCTACAAAATGGAGATGCAGCAGATGATGGGAATGCTGGCCAGAATGGACGCCAGCATGAAAACCCATCAAGAAGAGGTGAGGGTAAACCAAGCAAAAGCAGTGCCGACCAAGTGTGAATGGAGACCAATAGGAGGAAAGACAAAGAGGATTTCCTGGCAAAATTAGAATCCAATCAAGAAAAAGCAAATATCATGCTGGCAAAATTAGACACCGATAGGAAAACTGATAAAGACGATATGCTGAAAGAGATGAAGGCCATGCAAGAAAATAGGAAGAGAGACAAAGAAGATTTAATATCCAAATTAGACACCAATCAACTAAAGCCGGCGGCCGATAGGAAGGCCGCAATGCAATCTATGTGAACAGAATTGGATGATAAAATCCAACATAGAGTTGAAAACATTTTGGCGATCGTTGAACACGACAAACAGACTCTCCAGTCAGAAATAACTGAGCAGATTGAAGTGTCCCTCTGCGCGCGGACAGATAAACTCCAGGAAAACCTGACGAAAAACTAAAACGAAACCTGCGCAGCAATTGACGAAACCAAACGCGAGTTCCAGGCCTGGTTGGACATAGTGCAAATGAAGTCCGAGCGGGGAAATACGTCAACGATCGTCACGAGCACAGCTCAGCCACCGAAATTCAACGGGAATTCAACATGGAGCGTGTTCCGGCGACAATTCGAGACCGTGGCAGAACACAACCAATGGTCGGACAGGGAAAATTCGACATACCTAATTACTGCCCTGAAGTGTCAGGCGGCGGAAATACTACCCGGCATTCCGGTAAATACAACTTACGAGGAAACTCTTAAGGCTCTAGAGGACCGTTTCAGGGACCAACACTTTGCAGCTGCTTACCACTGCCAATTAAGAACGACGCAGAGACCTGGAGAATCCCTGCAAGACTTTGCCACGGCCATTGAACTCCTTTCCCGTCGTGCCTACCCCAATCTACCTGCTGACCACATAGGAAGAGAAGCAGGAAAAGCCTTCATATACGGAATACGAGATGCCGATATAAAGATCCAGCTGCTGCTAGGTGGGGAGAAGACGGTAAACGAGGCCCTCCGACAAGCGCTAGAGTTGCAGGCGGTACTGGTAGCAGCCAGACCTCACGGAGATAGCACCAAGTTCCGATCGTCCCCCACCCAACGAGGAGATGACAATAGACAGCACCAGGACCAAAAAGAAGGGCCTCCAAGAAATAAACGGGAATCGCCAAGGAAATCAGAATGGTGACCCAGAAACAACAGGGAAACAAGCTGGAGAAAGGACCAACCGTTGGGAAATGAGCGACGGCCGGCGGAGATGGGCGAACGCCGGCATATGCGTTAAGGCCCCCACACTACGCACTCACCGACATGACGAAGAAAGCAAACACCAGTCTGGTCACCCAGGGATGGGTCGGTGATAAGCCGTGCCAGGTGACAGCAGACACTGGAGCATACGTCACAGTAGTAAGACGGGATATCGCCGCTGGATGGCCTGAAAGACAGCCAAACCCAGATTTCACGCTGCAGACCGTGTCTGGAGGATCCCTACCCATCCTAAAGAAGTTCTGTTGACCGTTACCCTGGGGCGCCAACCGATAACAATGTGGGTTTTCGTCGCGAATATCACAGATGAGCTCATCCTGGGACTGGACATACTGCGCGCCTATGATGCTTCAGTGGATATAGGGCGCCAAACTCTGCGTCTGGTGGAAGAAGAAGTATCGCTCTGGAGTCCTGGGGCAGGACCCCGTCCTTCTAGCTTAGTGGTGGCAAAGGACCATGTGATACCCGCACGGAGCGAGGGAATAGTGATGGCTAAAATGAAGAATAATCTGGGAGTAGAGAATCGTCTAGTAGAGCCAAGCCCCCAGGCCCACCCGCCTGAAGTAATCTACGTAGCCAGGACCCTAGTTCAGGACTGTCAAGAAGTACCAGTGAGATGAATGTTACCCACAAGGACCAAAAGCTCAGGAGGGGATCTCCTCTGCCGCACTGTAAGCCAGTAACACTCATGGCTTTGCCTGAGGTGGGGCAACCCCCAGCACCAGGCCTAACACCGAAATTAGCGGACGTGACCACAGCGGCGAAGCCACACCTAAACACCAGAGAATTTCAAGAGTTAGAGGATCTCGTGTCCGAGTTCGCGGATATCTTTGCGAGGGACAACGAAGATTATGGAAGGACAAACAAGGTATATCACCGCATACACACGGGAGAAGCCCGACCAATTCGACAGCCACCGAGGAAGGTACCCCTGACAAAACAAGCAGAAGTAAAGGATATGCTCGACAACATGCGAGGACAGGGGGTTATAGAAGAATCGGACAGCCCTTGATCGTCCCCAGTCATTTTGGTCAGGAAAAAGAATGGGGAGCTCCGTTTCTGTGTGGACTACAGAAAGCTGAACGATGTCACCAAGAAGGATTGCTTTCCACTACCCCGTATTGACGACACCCTGGACACGCTGGCTGGAGCCAAATTGTTTTCAACTCTCGATTTAAAGAGTGGCTATTGGCAAGTTGATGTACACCCAGACGACAAAGAGAAAACAGTGTTTTCGACAGGGCAAGTGTTATGGCAGTTCACAGTCACGCCCTTTGGCCTCTGCAATGCTCCGGCAACCTTCGAGAGGCTAATGGAGACAGTCCTACGAGGGCTCACGTACGATTCATGCCTTGTGTATTTGGATGTGATCGTAATAGGCCGCACATTCCAAGAGCACATGCTCAACCTACGGACTACTTACCTCAACCCTACCAACTCTGTGCTTACCTGGCTTATGAGTTTCAAGAACTTAGAGGGACAAACTGCGCGCTGGATACAGCGTCTACAGGAGTACAACTTCACTTCGGAGCATCGTCAGGGCCGGAAACATAACAATGCCGACGACCTTTCTAGACAACCCTGCCAAGAGCAATGTGCGCAATGCCACAAACTTGAGACACGGGCAGAGGTAAAGCAAATACGCGTTATTCTAACCCTACTGGCAGCCGGCTGGGACCCTGTTACCCTGAGAGAGAAGCAGCTAAAAGACCCAGATATAGGGCCTATTCTACGGGAAGTAGAA